ATTTGTGTGTGTTTTTTTTTTGATAACCATGCATCAATACTAAAGGATAATGTTACCCATAGTTTGAAGCTGAAGTTTTCCTGTGTCCCATCTGGCCCATGGTCAGGACAAATCTCTCTCACCCACCAGTCCTGCAGCTGCTTGGACCCAAGTAAACACACAGAGGCTTATATTAATTAAAACTGCTCAGTCATTGGCTCAGGCCGACCACTGACTAGCTCTTACATTTAAACTAACCCATAATTCTTATTTATGTTTAGCCACATGGCTTGGTACCTTTTCTCAGTTCTTCCTTCACACCTTGCTTCCTCTATGTCTGGCTGGTGACCCTGACTCAGCCTTCCTCTTCCCAGAATTCTCCTCTCTACTTACCCCGCCTATACTATACTTCTTGTCTGGCTACTGGCCAATCAGTGTTTTATCAGCCAAATCAGAGCAACACACATTCACAGCATACAGAAAGACATCCCCAGCAACAGTTTATACCCCTCACACAAGTTACTCAGAAACAAGACATATGTCTAAACTACATGGAAACATGTAGTCATACAATTATCACACACAAATGTGAATATTTTATAAACTTACCTTTTACAATTGTACATTCAAGCTTATTCATCCATAAAAACCTTTGTGTATAACAAATTGCATTTTTCTTTTAACATATTAACATCAGTTTTCAATTCCTAAATTATAGACCAAAGAATGTGACTTGATACATTTTTATAATTTAATGGAATAATTGTCTGTGAAGGGTTCTATTAAAGAAATACACATTTACCTTTTGTTGGTTTATTCATTGACAATCAAGTCAATTCCTAGGATTATGATCTGATACTATACAAAGCATGTTTCTATTAATCAGCAGTTCAAGTTGGTATATCTTCCTTTTCTATTTCAGTTAAATTTATCAGAATTGTCAGTTTACTAAAACCATATTCTCAAAAGCAAACAAGGAACATTATCCTCCCAAATCCAAATCTACAGTAGCCATTTGCACATGAATTACAAAGAATGACTTTCATAATTTCTTTGTATAGCTATGGGATAGTTGTTTTTACATCTAAATCACTATATTTTCTTTGATTCTTTTTAGCATCTCACAAGAAATATCTTTCACAAAAGGTAAGTATTTTTATTTACCCAATAAAATTTGCATCATATTTTTTTTAAAGATTTATTTATTTATTATGTATACAGCATATGTGACTGCAGGCCAGAAGAGGGCACCAGATCTCATTACAGGTGGTTGTGAGCCACCATGTGGTTGCTGGGAATTGAACTCAGGACCTCTGGAAGAGTAGTTCAGTGCTCTTAACCTCTGAGCCATCTCTCCAGCCCCTTGCATCATATTTTATGAAATATAAATTAATGAGTGTTTTGTTTCAATTCCATACAGGGTTCCATTGCAATAAAAGACTTCAATGCAAATACAAAATTACAAAGAAAAGAAATACAAACACTCAAATCAGGTAACTGCTCAAAATTATTCTGGAAAGAAGCATTTTAAAATACCTGAAATGGGTACAGTGTTCTCGTCTTTACTTCATTTTCTCCCAATGTGACAGAAGGATTTGTCCTAATTAATGAAAATATCACAGTTTTACCAATGCCTAAAAAGTATTTAGAATCTTATGAAAATGTTTTATAAATGAACACTTCTTTAGGTATTTCTACTTTTATGTGTCTGCATCCTAACATTCCAGCCCAAATCCTTATATTTGCTAAGAGATACAACGGGGCTAATTTTGAAAGTGTGGTATTTTCCACACTTTAAAAATGATCATAGAAAAGATGGTCCCCATCTCACACATTTTTATTTCTGTGCATATATTATCCAGAGGACAGAGCTCTCCAGGATCCCAGGTGTTTGAAGACAACCTGAGCAGTATAGCAAGATTGCTTCATATTCTTTAGTTTCTGTTTTATTGAAAATAGATTTGTCAATAATATATTCTGATTAGGATTGCCCTTACCCCAACTAATCCCAGATCCTCTCCACATACTTAAATACACATCCTTGCTCTCTATCTTTAGAAAACAAAGAGGCATCTGTAAAATATAGAAAATGAAAAAAATAGTAAAATAATATAAAACCAAATAAACCTGAACAGGACAAAACAAACGAGAGCCACAGCTGAAGCACAGGAACAGATGAAAACAGAGACTCACACATGGCGCACAGTAGAATCCCCTGAAAACAGCATTGGAAGCCATGATACACAAACAAGAATTGTAGAGTAAAAATAAGTAAGTTAAAAGTAAAAAGAAAAGTCAGACAAATCATTCAGAGACAGCAACAGCAAAATGTGTTGGTCATCTACTGCTGGGAAGGGGTCCTTGCTTTAAAAGAGGTTTGTATGTCCAGTGAGACTCCACTGGAGAAAACTAATTTCACTTGCGAGTGGTTGTCAATTGGAGATAGCCTCTGGGTTAGAAATGGTGGCTTACATCCATTCCTCTCAGTGCTAGCACTCCATCTAGGGCAGACCTGTTCAGGCCCTATGCAAGCTGCCAGAGTCTCTGTGAGTTCCTATGTGTGTCAGTCCTTCTGTTTTTAGAAGGACTTGTTTCCTTGGTGTCCTCCATGCCCTCTGGCTCTTACATTCTTTCTACCCCCTCTTCCACAGGGTTCCCTGAATTCCGAGGGGAGGGAGTTCATGGAGACATCCAATGGGTGTTCAGAGGTCTCTCATTCTCTGCATAATGTCTAGCTATGGTCTCTATATTTGTTCCGATCTACTGCAGGAGGAAGCTTTTCTGATGATGGCTGAATAAGAACGGATCTATGAGTGTAGCAAACGGTTAGGAGTCACTTTGTCTCTACGTCCCTTTTGTATTTGGTTTTCCCTCAGGTTCTGTCTCCAGCCTATCTAACTTCAGGTTTTTGACGACCAGAGAGGTATCAGGGATAAGTTCCAGACCATGGAGTGGATCTTGAATCCAATGAGATATTGGTTGGTTACTTCCACAAGCTTGGTGCCACTATTGGACTAGCACATCTTCCATGCATGTTGCCATTATAGACCAAGGGGTTTGTAGCTGGGGTGGTGTTTTCTTTTCTCCTTCAGTAGCATACAGAAAATCTTCTAGTACCATGAACACTGGTCTAGTAACTAATGACATCCTACATTTGGTTTGATTTTTGAGCCAATTTATCCAGGTTTTTTTTTTTTTTTTTTTTGGTTTTTCCAGACAGAGTTTCTCTGTGTAGCTTTGCGCCTTTCCTGGATCTCGCCCTGTAGACCAGGCTGGCCTTGAACTCACAAAGATCCACCTGCCTCTGCCTCCTGAGTGCTGGGATTAAAGGCGTGCGCCACCACTGCCCGGCTTATCCAGTGTTTTTAAGAGATTGTAAAATGAAGTCTATGACAACAAATCACATTGCATAATATACATATTATGCATATATATGTATCAGTTTTCATATTGACAGTGTATGTAACTCATTATTATAAACTGTCTCCTGAATTAGAACCTCAAAGTCAGATATAATAAATTATTCATTCATTAAAGTGACTTAATTACAACTTTTTTCTCACCTTTTCTGTTTCCCTCTTGGATGGATTAATAGTCCTTTCTTGGGCTTTCAAGCTATACCTCACTTAATATTCTTTTTCTGTTACCACTCATGTTTCACACTTTCCATCTGCCTAAGTCACTCTATGAGTCTCAGCGACACCTTTCCCTCTTGGAATATCAAGCCTGAAAACTTTCACCAATAGCTTTTAATAATCTTAAGCACCTCACATTTAGCAGGACCTCAATATTTACTGAAAAAATAGTGACTGTTTATACTAGGATGATTGCAAGAGTTTAATGTACCAATCGATCCAGGAGTAAAAGGAATAATTTTGAAAAGCAAATAAAGTTATTCTGGTAAAGCCAAAGTAGAAAAAAATCATATAAAGCATTAATTTAATTCAAAAGAGATGCCTAGCATTCAGGAAAAAAAAGGATGAAGGAAAACTTCTCAAAGTCAACTGAACCTTAAAAGGAACAAGGAAAGTTAGCACCACAGTGAACAAATAACTAAATGTTGTGTCAGGAAAATAACTGTAATGTTTAGCAGGTTGTTTATGTTTCTATTTTGAAGTATTGAATGGTATATGTGGTGAATTCTTATGCATATGTGTTTTTTTACATTTAACTTTAGTTTTAAATTTTTAAAAAATATTGGCCATAGATAGATAGATAGTTATGGAGGATACAATTGTGACTAAATCTTCCAATTCTGTTGACTAAAGCTAAGAAATATTTGGTGTCTGTCAAAGGGTTATATTGAAGTTTTAGGTAATGGAAATTATCTCCTAAAATAAAGTTTTCAGCTAAGGATAAATAAGCTGAATTGAAATTCTCAAATGGGAAAATAGAAAAAAAAATAGTATTTATTATTGCAGATTTTAGAAAGATAGTACTTATTATTGCAGATTTAAAATTTTTTGGCTAATATTAAATCTGTGTTGTTTTCTTTAATGTTTGTGGTATAACTAAGTACATTTATTTATTATGAACAGTGGTATTAGAAGATGATCACGATATGTGTGATGGCAGCAAAAATAACCAGCCATTGGTATGTAAATACTTAAATTTAAAAGACTAATGTTACAACATTTTCTTTTAAAAAATACTGTAGCATAGAGCAAATAGCGCTATGTTTTTAAACTTCTCTATGGGATATATAGGTAATAATTTCATACTTTATTTTAAGTATCCTTAAATGGTGAATGTTTCCTTCTAGAAGAGCTATACTTACTGTTAGGGTAGAAACAACAAACTTTAATGTAGGTAACAGGTTATTGTTATCAAATAGATTTAATTCACCTTCTTTACTTTGTATCAGCATACATTAATAAGTAGAAGACTGAGTTGTGAGGTATATTGAATCAAAGACAGTAAAAAATATACAGAGGCATTCTTTTTTTGAATTAATTTATTTTACATCCTGGCTGTGATTTCCCCTCCCTTCTCTCCTCCCAGTCCTTCCCCCCTACTCTCCCTCTCTTCCTACCCCCAATCCACTTCTCCTCCATTCCTGTTCAGTATAGGGTAGGTCTCCCATTGATATTGACAAAATGTGGCATATCAAGTTGCAGCAAGACAAAGCACCTCCCCATGTGTTAAGGCTGGGCAAGGTGATCCAGTGTGAGGAAAAGAGTCCCCAAAGCCAGCACCAGAGTCAGAGACAGCCCCTGCTCCCACTATTAGGAGTTCCACACGAGGATCAAACTGTATAACTGTAACATAAGCAGTGTGCCTACATGAGTCCTGTGCAGGCTCCCTGGTGGTTGGGTCAGTCTCTGTGAGCCCCTGTGAGCCCAGGTTACTTGATACTGTGGGTCTTCTTGTGGTGTCCTTGACCCCTCTGGCTCCTACAGTCCTTTCTCCCCCTCTTCTGCAGGATTCCCTGAGCTCTGCCTAATGTTTGGGTTCCAGAGGCAGTCTTAAAAGTAAAACTATGTTAAGGCTCCCCATCTTCTTCAAAGACATCAAGCCACTTTGTCAGCTATACTGTTTAATTAAAGTGGATACTTTGCTGAATTTTATAAGTGGATTTTGAAGCTATCATGGTGATAAAATTTCTTGCAGTTGTCAAATTTTATGGTAGATCCATGTGAAATTTGGAAATTGTCTTACATTTTCCAATTATTTCAAGTTATCATACTTAGAACTCTGAAGTTCCACTCTGTCCCTTGCTTTGAGCAAACCTGGCTTCATTTTTTTGTGGGCCCCTTCAGATTTTGATTACCCTAAATCCCAGTGAAAAAGGGAGGAACATAACTATGTGAGAAAATACCTTAGTGCAGATAGAGGAGGACCCCCCCCCCCACACACACACCTTTGTTGTAGAAGAACCAAAAGTTACAATTCTAAAGACGGCTTTTAATGTTACATATCACTAAGAGAGTGTTTCTTTTATAACAGTTATATAGGAGTTAGAAGTATGAGTTAGCAAAGCATACACGGAAGAAAAAGCTCAAAATGAGGAGTGCCAATTTAAAATTAAAAAATAAAAGAAGACATATCTTTTTTTTTCTTAGAAATAAATGAAACATTATTCCCTAAACTTCCATGACTTCTTATGACAAACTAAGCACATAAAGATTTTATGAAATAAATTCTTCAGTATTTTCAACAGTCCACTCATAAAGACTATTGGGGAAAATAGCCCTTTATTATGAAAACAGTTCTCTTTAATATTCAACTCTCATTAAAGGTTGCAGCAAACAGGAAGAAACGGGCAAGCAATGAAACGGAAGATGCAACCCACTCCTACGGTCGTGCAGCAGCGTCTGCCGCTCCTGAAGTCTCTGAGGCTTCTGTTGTCGCTGCTATCGTTGCTGCAGCCGTTTTTGCTGCGGCTACTCCCGCTGCTGCAGCCGCTGTTGCCTCTGCTGCTGTAGCTGCAGTTACCGCTGCTGCTGCCCCTGCTGCTGCTGCTTCTGCAACTGTTAATGCTCTCGCTCCTGTTGCTCTCGGTGCTTCACCTGACAGTTCTGCTGTTCCTGTTGCTGCTGCGACTGCTGCTGCTGCTGCAGACACTGCCGCCGCCGCCGCCGCCGCCGCCGCCGCCGCCGCCGCCGCTGCTGCCGCTGCCGCCTCTGCCACTGCCATTGGTGCTGTGGCTTCCGTGGATGCTGCGTCTCGAACTACTGCCTCTGCTTCTGTTGCTGCCGTGGTTGCTTCTGCTGTCACTGCAGCAGCTGGTTCTGAAGCTCCCACTGTCGCTTCTACTGCTGCTGTAGCTGCCGGTGCTGCTGCTATTGGTTCTGCTGCAGCAGCTGCCCACATGGCTTCTGTTGTCACTGCTATAGCTCCTTGTGTTCCTCCTCCTGTTACCGTGTCAGCTGCAGCCCCTTCTACTGTTGCTGCTGCTGCTGCGGTTGCTACTCATGCTGCTGCTTCTCCTACTGTCGCCGCCGCTGCTGCTGCTGCCGCTGCTGCTGCTGCTGCTGCGGTTGCTACTCATGCTGCTGCTTCTCCTACTGTCGCCGCCGCTGCTGCTGCTGCCGCTGCTGCTGCTGCTGCTGCGGTGGCTACTCATGCTGCTGCTTCTCCTACTGTCGCCGCCGCCGCTGCTGCTGCAGCTGCTGCTATTGCTGCTGCTGCTCATCCAGGTACTCCTGCGGTAGCTACTGCTGCTGTTGCTGATGCAGCCCCGGATCCTCCTGATGCTCCCTCTGCTGCATCCGCTGCTTCCGCCGTTACAAAAAGAAGATTGATTCTACAAGGAAAGTATGAGGAACCGAGAAAGCAGCAGCCCTACCTTGAGGAGGCAGAAGAAGATGATGGGTAAGACTAGGAAGATTTAAACTAGGTATTGTTCCTGCCCGTTAAATGAATTCTGCTTTTTGATAATTTCCATGCCTAATGCGGTTTTACTAGGGATAATCTTGAATGGGCAGATACCAAACAAACAAACAAAAAAACCTAAAAAAAATTAGCAAAATTAGGTACCATTGTGTCCCATTAATATTGATGCATTTTGTTTAAAAGATAATAACCAAGGTTGTCAAATGTGAGGCAAAAGAAATTTGGAAACCAGTATGTATATCAATTTTGAGCCATAATATAGTAGCAATGATTCACACATTTCCAAAGTACTACTGTTTTGATCTAACAATTTCATTTTGAGGATGAATTCTTTTGGATTAGGAAAATGTTGCTTTTAAACACAACCACACACATTCTGGCAAACAATATTGTCTATTATAGGCAAAATAGAAAAGGTACACAAATATGTGATACATATTAAACACAGTTGAAGAATATTTAATATACAGACTTTGAATGCATATGTAGATGCATGTACAAGAAACAAGGGTATTGATTTAATCATCATCAGATTATGGTGTTATATTTAAAACAATTATCAGTAAGGAATTAGATTACCATATACATATAAAATGTAGCATGTGAATATTTAAAAATGAGTTTCAATCTATATTGCACTCATTATTTTACCAATGAAATATTCCAGAGACATGGATTTTGATAGCACATCTCAAGCAAATTTTGTTCTAAAACTACATCTGGAGAGTTTCAAAAGGAAGCTGCTTGCTAGAATGAAATTCTACTTCCTAATTAACAAAACTATTAGTTGTTAATCTGTTTGTTTCTTCTCAGTGCTCCTGTGTTGAGAATTGAAACCTCAAATTAGCCTTGCTATTGCTGTGAGGATTATACCCAGGGAAAATGTCAATAAACGTTTCTGTCATATGTTCTCTGTTGATATGCAGTGACCTAATTTTAGTTTGAAGTTTACTATCAGCTATCAGAGTAGTCATGCCTACTTTCTTTGGTTTCTATCCACTTGGTAGGTTGATTTTCACACTTTTTACTCTTTGTCCATGAGTTCCTTTACCAGTGTTTCCTGGAGACCTCAGATCATTGGATGCACTTTTGTTAATGCAATAAGCCAATCTAGCTTTCTTTACTGGTGTGTTTGGCTTACTTAAACGTAAAGTTACTATTGAAGATGTTTATTAATAACTGTACTTTTGTTGCCTGATTTTCTGGTGTGTTGCATTATTATTGGCTTCATAATTCTCCCTCCCCAGTTAGCATCAGGGCCTGTGCTGATTTCTTTTGTGGGACATGATGGATTCATTCCAACTCTGTTCAGATACTGCTCCAAAGTTACTTATTCTTTCCTGTGTCCCATAATTGGGATTCCTTCTCTTTCCTCTGTGTACAGTATTTAGTTAAGTATCTCCACTACGTTGGCTTAGTGATAATGAACTGATGCTCTGTACTTATTTTGAAACATCCTATTAACAGTAGATTGTAGCTGAAGTTTCCCTGTGTCCCACCTGGCCCATGGTCAGGACAAATCTCTCTCACCTGCCAGTCCTGCAGCCGCTGTGTGCCTGTTACATGCTGCTCCCTGGATGGTGGGCTGGTGTCTCTGACTCAGCCTTCTACTTCCCAGAATTCTCTTCTCTGCTTGTCCCACCTATACTTCCTTCCTGCTACTGGCCAATCAGCACTTTATTTATTAACCAATCAGAGTAACATATTCACAGCATACAGAGTAATATCCACAGCAGTAGATTTTTAAAATCTATTTTTTGATAAAGCAATCTTAGTTGGAAGTTATCTTCACATCGTGAAGTGTTTCATTCAATTTTCCCTGTCTTCTAAGTTTAGTTAAGAGAAATGAGGTGTTATGATATTTTATCTTAAGTTAATTTTTCCTTAGATCTTTCTTAAAATCTGTTTTTAATTGAAGTAGAATAATATCATTCCCTCTTCTTCTTTTCCTCTCTCTGGCCCCATCCAGCTAAGCTACTCTACCTAGAACGCCCCCCCCCCCCAGTTTCTCCAGCACTCTCAAGTTGACAGCCTCTTTTTCTTTGGTTATTATTGGTGTGTGTGTGTGTGTGTGTGTGTGTGTGTGTGTGTGTGTGTGTACTCCTGTGTTTGAAGGGAAGAAGAAATTTTTGGAAATAATAAAACCAGTATATAATTATTAATACTTTTAATATATTTGTCTCACTCATAGACAGCAGAATGCATATGCCAATGAAATGTGTATATGGAAGCCTACCACATGGAAGCATTTGTATTTAACAAGTAGGATTTTATGGGGCATTTTGTTATGTATTACAAATAATTCTGTAAGAAACACCATTGAGGTGAATAATTTCTTCTATTTCTAATTGTCTATAATGAATATATTTCCCATGCAGAAATATGTTGAAATATTTAGAATCTTAAAATTATTTTGATCAATATTTCCAAGTTTTTCTCATGAAAAATTATGATAATTCATAGAACAGATTATTAAGTGGTATCTTGGTTACTGTTCTATTGCTCTGAAGAGATACCATGACCAAGGTAACTCCTATAAAAGGAAGCATTTAATCTGGGACTTGCTTACCATTTCAGAGACTTAGTCCATTATCATCATGGCTTGGAGCATGGTGACAGGGAGCATGATATCACACAGACAGATGTTAAAGCAGTATCTGAGACCTGTACATGCTGATATGAGGACACACACACACACACACACACACACACACACACACACACACACACAAACACACAGAGAGAGAGAGAGAGAGAGAGAAAGAGAAAGGCTGGTCTTGACATGAACTTTTGCAACCTCAGTCTACCCGCTGTGACATACTTCCCCCAGTAAGGCCACACCTATTCCAACAAGGCCACATCATAAGCATTCTAATCCTCAAACAATTCCACTTTATTCAAACATATTAGCCTATGGGGGGCATTCTTATTCAAATCATCACAAGTGGTAATTTTAATCTACTGACAAATTTAAAAATTAATATGCATTTGGGTGAAGCTTTGTATCAAACCCAGGACCTTACATGTAGTAGGTATCACTCTATTTCTTAGCTATACTCACATAGTGGTTAAATTTATTAATTCTATTCTATCAATTAAGAATAAAAACAGACATTTAAGTGCTTTTACTTAAAAAGCACTGATCTTTATTATTATGGTTACCATTAGTTGTAATTTAAATTCCCCAAGTGGATTCTTAAGTTGTTCATAAAATACATAATAAACAACAAAGTAAGTAGAAATTGTGATAAACTAGATAGATGAAAGTCATGCTCATGGATATTAGATTGTTTAACTTAATTATAAAATTTAGAACATAGAATAAAAATGAAAACTGTGAATATAAACTTTTAGAAATGTTATAAGCAACTTATGAGGGGCCAATTCATAAAACGAACATTTTGTTTTCTGAGAAGAGTAATTCTAAGATTAGCTTATTTAACTACAGGTCAATCATAAAAGAGCAAGTGGAGAAGAAAAGAAACACAATTTGTGCTTATGAGACTGTGGAGGAACTGCGGGTCAAAAAAGAGATGATTGAGAGACGAGGAGAGCACTACCAGAGACAAGTTACAGAGACGCAGGAACTTAAAGTATGTCAGAAAACAAGAGACGTGGAGCTGAAGCAGGTAATTTAATCTTTAATAAAAAGAGCATTTCAACTTTAGATCACTGCTATTTACACATTCCTCTGATTTAATTATATTTCACCTCATAACAGATACATGATGTAAAAAATGTTTCCTTCGCCAGCATCATCACTGTGCAAACTTCATTAGCATATACATACAAATCTACCTCATTAGTGTGCTATGTAAGCTTATGATGGGATCATTGTATGTGTAGACTGTTTTTGACCAAATCACTGTTATTTGATGTATGATTGTTTTATTTAGGGTTCAACCCAAATTTTATTTCATTATAAATTAATGATATTTAGTATGAAATTACTTTTTAAAAGTGTTGTCATCTAATAAGTATTTGGTGTATGATCTCTGAATGAAGGAATGAAAGCCAGTTAATATTTATCAACAGCATAATTTCACTATATTTTATTCTTACTTTTATTGAAAATAGATTCTTTTTTTATATAATTTAACTCGATTGTATTTTCTCCACTCTTTTACTTCTCCCAGATCTTCCCCACTATCCCTCTCATCCAGATACATTCCCATTCTGTCTCTCATTAGAAAAAGAAGGATTCTAAGGGACGTTAATAAAATATAACAAAAAAGAATATAATAAGACAAGCCACAGTCTATTACATTAGAGTTGGAAAAGACAAACCAACAGAAGGAAAGAGCAGAAAAGAATGTGCAAGAGTCAGAGACCAACTTGTTCCCACACTCAGAAATCTCATGAAGACACTGGAAACCATAAGAAATACTCAGAGGACCTGGGCAGACCCTTGCAGGCCTGTGTATACTGCCTCAGTTTATGTGAGTTTGTATGAGATTTGACAGTGTTGATTTAAAGGGCCTCGTTTTCCTGGTTCCCTCCATCCCCTCTGGCTCTTGCACTGTTTCTACATTCTCTTCCGTGGGATTTCCTGAGCCTTGAGCAGAGGGATTCGATGGAGACATCGCATTCAGGGCTGTGTGTTTCCAGGACTGTCACTCCCTGCATAATGTCTAGCTGTAGGTCCCTGTATTTGTTCCCATCTTTGGCAGTGGGAAGCGTCTGTGATGATGGCTGAGCAAAGCTCTGATCAAATTTGTCCTCTAGCTCTGGGATATTTCACTCAGGATGATTTTATTTCTAGTTCTGTCCATTTACCTGCTTTGTTTGCCCCAAATTCTTATGGAAACACAAAATACCCAAAGTTATTCTAAGCATTAATAGCAATGCTGGAAAATAAATACAACTTGTTTTGAATTATAACAAAGGACATAGTAACAAAAGAAAGACGCTGCTGTCACAAAAATAAGCATGTAGACAAGTACAATCTAATAGGAAACAGAACCATACGGTTACTATAGCAACCTGTTTGGGTTGTTTGCTTGTTTGTTTGTTTTAACGCAAAGGTTCCATGACCATGCTTTTGAGAAGAGGTGTCTTTTCAATAAAATGTTCTGGGAAATGTGGACATCTGCATGAATATAGTTTCATTTGCCTCTCCCTGTAAATGGATCAACTAAACAGACCAATGCCCATAATGTCAGATGTGAAACTCTGGATTGTGAAAACCCCTTAAGAGATCTTTGTAAAAAGGATTCCAATAGTCAAAAAAATGTTAGCAAGAACTGACAATAGGATTTGTGTGAATAGGCAGAGTACAGGGTCAACCTATGTACTAGGAGAAACAGGGAGGTAGTATATTGAATTTATAAGGAACTCAGAATTTTAACACCAAATGAGGAAAAGAATCCAGATTAGTTCTGGAAGACAGAAGTACAAATGAAAAATGTGGTCAGCTATACCAGTGCTGGACATATTTCCAAAGGCATCTAAGTTGGCACTCGCCAGGAATACTTGCACATCTGTCTTTGTCTTAGTACTGCTCACAGTTGCCAAGATATAAACAAAGACGACATGTCCATCAACAGAGGAATGGACAAGTAAAATGTAGAACATACCCACAGGAATTTTATTCAGGTGTAAAAAATGGAGACCTGCCATTTTCAGGAAAACATGGGGAGCTGGTTATCATTAGGCAAAGAGAAATAAGCCAAATCAGGAAGAAAACATTGCATAGTTTCTAATGTACAGAATAGTTTCAGATAATACATAATGGGCCGAGTGTATATGCAAAAGAAGCGTAGTGCCTAAAAAGGCAGAGAGGATCAGAGAAGCTTCTTCTTGTAGTGGATGGTAATTAACAGAGAGTGCCAACTGGGCAATTAGCAGGGAGTGAGACCTTTCAGCCGTAAATGGGATGTCTTCATCAAACCCCTCCCTTGACACCCAGGGACCTATACAGAAGAAGAGGAAGAATGAGTCATGGAGAAACCACAAAACAATATTTCCGGACACAACACAGCTTCTGCACATATGAACTCACAGAGACTGTGACAGCATGCACAAGACCTGTTCAGGTTCAAACCAGACAAAATCCCAGCATGAGAAGGGGAAGTGGAAACAAACTCCCACCACAATCAAAAAGCTATTTATGGTTGACACCTGCTTGGAAAAAGAAAATCACTTTTCTCCAGTGGAGTTCCACTGGATATATCAAACAGTCCTCACGCGCAAGTGAAGATGGCCAATAGAAGGGGACTTTATAAACTGGTGGGGTTTTTTTTGTCTGTTTGTGTACTTTTTGTTTTATTTTGGTATTTTTTTGTCTCATTGATTTTATTTTTCTTTGTTCATCTGTTTTAATTTTCATTTTTGGTTGTTTTTATTGTGTTTTTTTTTTCCTTGAAGGAAGGAAAGAGTGAAAGAGAGAGAGAAAATAAGAGAGACAGAGAGAGGGAGAGAGAGATGAAGTGGGGTGAATGGCATAGTTGGAGCTGGATAGGATATGGGAAGAGTTGGAGAAGGACAAAGAATATGATTGAAATATATAAAAAGATTAAACAAAATGATAAAAAATAAAATAAAATTGGAAGATGGTAGAATAACTGTGTAATAAACTTGTAAATAAACAAGATATTCACATATTTTCTCATGGAAAGAGTCTAGAGAAGCTTGTTTATAATGTAAAGTGCAATACTTCCTATCAGTGCCTTTAGCTACCTCTGATGATCATGCCATCTACATACCAGTTAATAAATGACATAGTAGGAGGGGACCATCTACATTTACATATATGATCGTCACTTACCAGAAGCATGAAGTTTTTCAGGGAAGTAAAATTTACCATTGGCTAGTGGGATTAGTGAAAGTTGCATGAAGAACTGGAGATGTATCCTTTGTCCCCAAACCAATGGTATGAATAAGGGATCAGTTTACTTAGCTAGGAGAATTATTTAACTGGTGTGCTGCCTTCTTAATAGGCCTAATTTTATTATGAAATAAAATGTGCTAATAATATTAGTGTTACATCAAAGGTATGTTACATCATATATACATATTACTATGTCACATGAGAATAAAAGCATGTGCATTGCATAGTAAACCTTCCCAATATTGGAGAAAAATAGATATTGTTAACATTAGAATTTTACTGATCTAAAAAAACTGAGACGTAGGACCTTAACTTGTTTCAGAACTAACATCTTGTAGTAGTTGGAGCTGGGAAAAGGATCACATACTCACATTCAGGCATCCGTGTTGAAAATGCCTCAATGCCTTGCTCACACCCTTCAGTAAAATATCTGATTACAGCTAAAACAGCTCATGTCAGGGACTAGAAAGTCAGCACAGTGGGCAAAATGTTTACAAGGCAAGCAGAAAGACTTGTGTTCAGTCCCTGAACCCATTAAAAACAGGCATGTGGGTGTGTGCTTGTGATCACAGCGCTGGACAGGCAGAAATGGATGGCTCTTTAGGGTTCACCAGCACGCCAGCCTGTCCTATTTGCTGAGTTCCATACTTGGTATGAAGAAAAAAAAAGCCAAAACAGCCCCCAAAGAACACTTCAGACAGTCTTCAGTGCAACCGTGACCTTACACACACACACACACACACACACACACACACACACACACACACACGCACACGCACACGCACAGGCACACGCACACACACACACGCACGCACGCACACGCACACGCTCACACGCACACGCTCACACGCACACGCTCACACACACACATACACACCAGCATGCATACACAATGTTACGTCAATGTTTGCCATTGCTGGCACAGCTTTGGTCATACATGTTTATGGGAAGTTTTTAAATGAAAATGACTGTGTGGCCCTTGTAAAGCAAAATCACAAAGGCCATTTCATTTTTGTCAGCTTCCATATTTGATAAAACAAAACTGAAATAGAAATGTATTGCATTTCAGTCTTTTAGCAGCATCAGCTCATTCTTATGAAGAGTGAGGAAATATTACATCCTGCCCTGTGAGCTGGGAGAATCCTGTTGCAGCAACTCAATTAAACCTGTAGTGGTAGCATCAAAGCAGCCATGCAGATACCAAACCATGTACATACCAAAGGTTCTGCCCAAGTTCCTACGAAAGCTTTAGCACGTAAATAGACGATGGATCAATTTGTATCAGAGTATTAATACAATTCTTTTTTTTTATTTAGTTACATAAAGAAAAAGAACATGCACAGAAGATGGAAGATCACCTACAAATGTAAACTTTAAATCAGCCTATATTTATATAGGAAATGAGTAACATGAGACTCATCCAAGTTATGGTTACTGTGAAAACACTGTTACACTGTTAGATCTGTTTCTTGAAATTCACAACACAGAGTTTGGAAAGTACCTCAATAGTATAGCATGGCTTTGCATGCATGAGGGATATTATTTCCCAAACATTAACAACCAAAAAGTACATAATTTTTCATGTACCTACATCTTGTTCATTCTTTTAAAAAGGCTCAAAAAACGATAGAATTTGTACATCATTGACATTTAATATACTTCTTTTATAAAGTCACTGTTTCACATGTGTATTATGATATCACATGTTGTGGGGTGTGTGGGTGTGTGTGTGTGTGTGTGTGTGTGTGTGTGTGCGTGAGAGAGAGATTAGAAAGGGGCTGCGAAAGCGAATAAAGAGTTCTAATGGGAAGTGAGAGGGGAGCAGCAGGGAGGAGAAGGAAGACTCCAGGAAGAGGGGAAGGGACAGGAGATGGTTTTGGTGGCAGATAAGAACAAAGTGTAATAATAAACCTCTGTGAAGATGTCACAAGGAAATGTGATACTTACCTGACAACTAAAACTTAAAAAGTGAAAATAATGTGGCATTTAAAATTGATATGTGAAAAAGATGTATTTTAAAATATGGTTGAACATATTTTAGGTTAGAACTAGAAAAGACCTCATTACTAGCTACAGCGAAGAAACAAAAGGCGGAAATAGAACATCTGCAGAGACATCTGCAGGACACACAGAGAGACCTGGCCCAGAGTTCCAGTTTGGTAAGTCAGTGTCATGCCAACCCCCTTTCTGGCAATAAAAAGAAATACTGTAGGGAACCTATGAAATGTGTTCACATGAAATGTCTCATTAAAACACTTTTGTTGTTTGATAATTTTGCACATACATAGATTGTTTGAATCAACTCTACCCCCTAACTGCTACACTTTAACGCGTTCCTCATTGCTTTCAGCACTCTCCCTGCTAACTGCACGGGCCCATTTTGGATTATTTTCAGTGTTGTGTTTTAGCTCACTGCTGCCAGTATGTGCATGGGTATAAAACCATCTACTGGAGCATGGCTAGCCTCTCAGGTTCACGTCTCTGGAGAGGGCAACTCACCATCTCCAAGAAGCCACCAATTTCTCTTTGCATGGAATTAACTAATTCCATGGTAAGGAATGGTTTAGGGTGAATAGCATAGCTTGGGGCTAGTCTTTTCCTAGCACGGTGCCAAAATCTGGGTTCAGTGACCAATACCATGTACATGAGTATTTTTTACAACTCAGATTTAATACTGCTTACATTGGTAAGAAATATTCAACACAGCAACGTATTTTTCACATATTTAAAAATTGTTATCGAAATCATTTTTTTCAACCTTTAAAGGATGAAATGTCAAAAGTGAAAGAATCAAATATACTAGGATGATTTGAATGAGATCTTCTCTAAATATAAATTTCAATTTGCGGTAGGCACAGACAGCCGTTCAGGAAAATAAGACCCTCTGTAAGAAGCACACTGCGGTAATAACTGAGATGGAAAACATAATTAAGAGGCTGTGGTCAGAAGTCTCCAGTGTTAGAACTTCCCACGAGTCCAGCAAGAGAGAACTGCGGAAGTACAGGCGATGCTATCTGGAAGAACTAAGAAATAAAAACTTCCTATTATATGAACTAAACAGGTGAGTGAAAGAGAAGGTCGCAGAAGGTGCAGTCAGCTCATTCATAAACTGCTAAATCATAAATTTTAGTCAGATTTGATCCTGACACTAATGGGATGCGAAAGCTACCTGGCCAATATGTTTTGGGGAAGTTACATCAGAAGATGGTCTCACTGATAAAATGTTGTTCCAGGCACATTTTATTACCCTTCCCTCTCTTAGTTATGTGTGGCCTTTTCCTCATTAAAATTCTCATACAGTTAACCCAAGCATCCAGATTTTTAGCCACATATTTCTAAAAGTTTCTTATTAGATGCAGCCATATAGGTATAAAATTGCCTATCAACATATACAAAGAAGACGCATACCCAATGGAGTCAGCGGATTGTGCTAAGTCCTGTCGGCCTGGATCTGGAAATCTGACAGGGCAGGCAGCTAGGGAATAAAGAAAGAGCAGCACACGGACACATGTATGGAAGAGCTGGGGTCCAGACAGTGCATACGCACTCTGAAGGACCAGCACCCATTCCTGCTATGAGGCTGAACTTGAGTGTGTTGATTATGCACAGCCCTGGGGTGGGAGGGTGTGTTGTCCATTCTCGGTAGGCAAGCAGCCTCAACCTGCAGTGTCCACGAAGAGGAGGATGCTGTGTTTGTACACGTGTGTCACCCTTTCCAGTTCAGAAAGCTTTGCCAACCCTCTGAATCTCACCCTGGTAAGGTTTTGCCACTCACACGGGACTGAGACATTGGAGTCCTTGACATGGCTGTACCCATTTCAACAGCACATGCTCTTTCAGGACTTCCCTCACTCCGGCCTTCCTTCTTGCACTTCCCACCAGGTTATCTTTATGTATTTATGTACATGTATGTGTAACAACAATAATCTAAAAGAAGTCATTAAAGAGTGAGGGGTAGACACTGGAGAGGTTGGAGGGATAACAGAAGGGGGAAGTGATGTAATAAAATTTTAACTTAATTTGGGGGGGGGTGTTTTGAGACAGGGTATCACTATGTAGCTCTGACTGTCCTGGAACTCACTATACAGACCAGGTTGTCCTCGATCAGCCTGCCTTCACCTCCCAAGTGCCAGGGTTAAAGGCATGTGCCACCGTGCCTGACCATTATGTTTTAATTTTAAAAAATCATAATTAAAAAAAAATGGTTGTTTGAGGATGAATACAATTGAAACCCCAGAGGGGAAGTACTGCTAATTCTATTGAAATCTGGTGAATTAACTTTCCTCTGCTGTTACCTTTTGTCTTATGTGACAAAACTGTACTCTAGAATGTTTATATGCCTTGTACTTAGAGTAGAGAAGAATACAATGGTAGAAGAGGTTAACACAAATCACAATGTTGGGTAAGATAATTTCTTTGTTAGTAGGAGAGCATGTGTACAAGCCAAGAAGGGGCAGGTCCCCCATCTGATTCCTGGGTACTTTTGAAATGGCCAAGTGTACTCAAAGTTCCATTTGTTTTGTTTTGATCATCAACTCAGCCAGTTCCTTGTTTCTCTTAGCGCTTAATGCCTGTCATAGCTTTTGTCAACTTAACACAAACCTAAGCATACCAGCACATCTTGGAGAAGGAAATCTCGTATGAAAAGTTACTTCTGTCAGGTCTGGCCTGTGGGCACATATGTGGGGTATTTACTTGATCAGTGGTTAATATGGAAGAGTGCAGCCCACTGAGGGTGGTACCATCTCTGAGCAGGTAGGCCTGGACTGCATAAAAGAGGTAGCTAAGCAAGGCATGGAAAGCTAACCAGTAAGCAGAATTTCTCCATTTCTCCACGGTTTCTGCTTCAAGCTTCTACCTTGATTTCCTGCCTTGGCTCCTCTTGACTGTAACCCATGAGCTAAATAAACTCATCTCCAAGTTGCTTTTGGGGAGGGTTTTTTCACAGCCACAGAAAGCAAACTAGAACAATGTCCAACACTTAATTTTACACACTGAATGTACAAATCCTGAAAGCAAATGCTTGAGAATGTCATTTTGTTTCCTTTAACTTCCTAACTCTCCTTACTAGTACAAATGTTATTGCTTTTTATAACTTTGTTTTATTAATTATATAGGTCTGAAAAGTATAATGTGATGTTTTAATAAATTTACATGTAGTTAATTTGGTAGTAAATCATGAATGTTAATATACTCATCATATCACATAACTATATTTTGAATTTAAGTATTTCTTTTTTTTTTTTTTTTTGTTTTTCGAGACAGGGTTTCTCTGTGTAGCTTTGCGCCTTTCCTGGAACTCACTTGGTAGACCAGGCCGGCCACGAACTCACAGAGATCCGCCGGCCTCTGCCTCCCGAGTGCTGGGATTAAAGGCGTGTGCCACCACCGCCCGGCGAATTTAAGTGTTTCTAATCTGATCTCAATAATTATATTATTCCTCTCAGCACCAGCTTACCAGTTAAGTAGTCATACATTGTTGCTATCTCTTATATTGTTTGAGTTTCCTTTTAGTGTGGAATTTTCCCGAAAGTATATATATACTCTGCTTTCTGCATTTTGTGTGTGTGTGTGTGTGTGTGTGTGTGTGTGTGTGTGTGTGTGTGTGTGTGTTTGTGTATGGGCATCTGGACATGTACATATGCATGTGGTGCATGTGGAGGTGAGACTTTGATATTGGACGTCTTCATCAGTCGCTCTCCTTATATATTTCGGATAGTCTCTCACTCGAACTGAGAGCTCGGTAATTTGGCTGGTCTGCTCGCTGCTTGCTTTAAGAATGCCCTATGTCTGCCCCTGAAGCTCTGAGGCTGCAGATGCACCTGCCTGGTACTTTCATAGCATGGGGGATCTGAACTCTGGTCCTGGGCTGCGTCGACAAGGCTGCAATCACCTTATCTGCTGGGCCATCTTCCTGGGCCCGTAGTGTGTGTGTTCTTCTGGAAGAATTCTGAACATGTAATTGTATTCAGTAGGTACGATTTGACGTAGTTTTCAATGTTAAGATTCTCTTCAAAGCAAAATTTATTATTGTGGAAGAATTTTTATTGAAAGTCCTTTTGGAATTTTTCAGGGAAAACGATTACGATTACTACTCAGTGTTTGTCTCTTTGGTATCCATAGGACTAACGACAGTCAAGACGAGTCCCATACAGAACTTCACATGAAATTTGAGCAAAATATTTCTGCATCAAATACACTGAGTACAAGGCTGGCTCATAAGTGCTCTTGTGTGGAAAAAACTCACCAATTGGAAAATGAAGATGGTGGAAACTTGGCGGCACCTTCCTCAGCCACAGGATCTACTCATGCCTGTATGGCACACTACCCTTGGATGGTGTGTTTGAGTATCATTTTCCTTTGTATTTGTGATATATTTCTTGTTTTCAATTTGATATGCAATTAAGTTATTTATTTGATTTATGTGTGTAAAGTTAAGGTTCTGATAATATGTGTTATTGATGAGAGAAAACAAAGTTTGCACTTGGGGGGGAATTTTGTTTTTCCTGTTTACTAAACACAGATTCTTTTCTCATGCAATGTGATGTGAATACAGTTTCCTCTCCCTCCACTCTTCCCAGTTCCTCCCTCACGCATGGGTCTTCACCAGGTCCTCTGCATATATACTGTGGCTTTAAGTTAGTACTTTCATGGGACCCCTGAATGTGTAAATGAGTGGGTCTCTTAATCATGTGCCTTTTCTTGTGACTTTTTTTTGTTAGTTTGTCTTGTCTAAATTTGATATGATGGTTTCTTTTTGTCTTGTTATATTTTATTTTGTTATGTTTTGTTATCTCCTAGAATCCTGTTCTTTTCTAATGAAAGATAGAAAGGAAGTAGATCTGGATGGGAAATTTTACCATGTTTAAGATGTCCCTCAAACTCCTATTTTCAAGAGATACAAATTTAGCTTTCTTAAACAAATATGACTAAACAGTAAAAAGTTGCATTTTACATTTTGTCAAAAGCCTCGATTACATGACATTTTATTTTAGCATGTAAATGTAGCTCCAAACACTTGGACATGCTGAGGCAAGGCTTCTGTGTCATTGTGTCTCTGCTGCACCTGGAAGGACTTTAAGGTTCTATAGAATTCCAATTGTACTATACTAAATCATAAGTGAGTGACTGACATCTAAACATTTGCAGATATTTAAGTTGTAAGGACATCTGAAAGGAACTCTTATCATGAATCAAATCAACCTATAAATGTGGTGAATTATGAACTAAGCTTTTAACGCTTTCACCGGAAGCAGTGGTTCTCAACCTTCCCAATGCTGTAGCTCTTTAGTACAGTACCTCATGTTGTAGTGACCCTCAACTATAAGATGAGCTTGATGCTATGCCATAACTGTAATTTTGCTACTGTTATGAATCATAATGTAAATATTTTTGGTGATAGAGGTTTGTCAAAGGAGTCATGACCCACAGGTTGAGGATATTTAGAGTACTTTAGATTCTATAGATTCTATAGTATTTATTGAGGTCAGAGAAAAACCTGATAACTAGAGAAATGTTTTTTCTCATACCAAACATAGGAGTTAAAGCATACCTGTGGTTTCCTTGTGAGGTATGTGTTCCCCAATCATGGTAAACTTGATAAGAAATCCTAACTTTAATATTTTCATTAACACTTATTACCAAAATCTTACAGTTTTATCAGGTAAATGTTCGCAACTTAACAAAATAGACAATGTACATACATATTGTAAGAGTTTTACAGCTTGGAGGGAAAGGTCTCGTGACTTATCTGGAAGCCAGGCTATTCCTAGAGCTACAATAGGTCAGCTCTGGAGGGTGGAGCCACAACAGGACAGCTCAGCTCTGGAGGGAGAGGTATCCTGACTTGTCCAGAAGTCAGGTGATACCTGAAGCTGGGGGATGGTGGGGGATGGTCTCCCTGCAGGATGTAGCAATCCTGCTCTTCTAGAGAGCCTTTACAGCTAGGCTTCACTCTGCCCTCCTTAAGGGTCTTCCCAGCAGAGCTCCGCTGCTTCTCTCAGGCCCAAGATGTTGGTTCTTCTGCTTCACTCTGCTAAAGGGGAAACTCCTGCAGAAATGCAACAATCTCCTCTGCCTCCTTTGAAAAGTTGTTACTTTTTCTGCTCTGCCATGCTCAGCCCTCTCTAGGGAGACGTCTCAGCAAAGTTTTTTCTGCTCAGTCCCCCTAAGGGACATCTGAGCAAGGTTCTTCTGTTCTGTGCTGGCAAATGAAGATCTTCACCCAAGACTCTTTTGAGAAAGGGATTATGTGGGAAGGAGGAGTCCAAGAGCGTGGCTGCCTCTGCCAGGGTGGGAAAGCACAGCCCACAACGGACCAGGCAGAGGGGCTTATATAGCACTTCTTAGGGGTGGAGTTTCTCCAGGGAGATTTTCTGCTCAGTGATTGGTTAGTTTTTCTGCTCAGGGATTGGTTAGTTTTGTTGGTCAGGAGCAGAGATAGCTCTGATTCCCGGGCCAAACTGTGTTTCTTTCACTGGTCCTTTTTAGCCTTTTGGCTCTAATTTTAGGGCCAGAGCATATTTCTTTCACTGGCTCTGATTCTAGGGACAAAGTGTGTTTCTTTGGCCCTGGTTTCAGGGTCAAGGCATGTTTCTTGGATTCTGTGTTCAGAGATAAAATGTTTCTTTCACTGGCTCAAGTCTGAGATCCAGGGTGTGTTTCTTTTACTAGCTCTGGTTTCCATGCCAGGGTGGGTTTCTTTGGCTGGCCCCCTTTTCCCTACATATATCAATTTGAGAGCTTTGAAGAAAAGTAATCAATTTTGTGTTCTTTCCTTGTTTCCATCAAGTTTATAACATTTGTTAAGCCCCATCTAACCACATTCCTCATAAACTCATGAGTACTAATAATTCAAAAAAGATGAGTGAGCCTCTAGAATTTTTAAATTATATTCTATGTTTTAATAGTCTGAAAATGATGCGAGAGAGCTAAGCAAAGGACTTGGTGACTTAAAACAATCCGTGCAACTTAGTTTGGAGACGCAGAAAAAACAAAATAGCGGCATAGAAGAACTAGCTGGGTAAGATGCTAATCTTCCAGATAATTTTGGTGATTTAACTCTGATCTTAGTAATGCCCAAATAAAAATTCACTTTACATTTAGTTGTTAACATTTAAATAATAGTACTTTAAGATGTACTCAAGAAACTCATACAGAAACTTTTTTTTTTTTGAGACAATGTTTTGCAATATTAGGCCAACCTGGCTTCAAATTGTGATCCCCCTGCCACAGCCTTCCAAGTGCTGAATATATACATATATATGTAGCTAGAGTTTTCTCCAGTCCTGCCTGGCCCACAGTCAGTACAAATCTCTCTCACCCGCCAGTCCCGCAGCTGCTCAAACCCAACCAAGTAAACAAACAGAGACTTAAATTACTTATAAACTGTATGGCCGTGGCAGGCTTCTTCTTATCTAGTTCTTCTATCTTAAATTAACCCATTTCTATTAGTCTATAAGTTGCCATGTGGCTTGTGGCTTACTGGTACCTTACATCTTGCTTGTCATGGCAGCGTCTGGCAGCGTCTCTCTGACTCAGCCTTCCTGTTCCCAGAATTCTCTTCTCTGCTTGTCCCGCCTATACTTCCTGCCTGGGTACTGGCCAATCAGCATTTTATTTATACAGAGCAATATCCACAGCACCTCCCCTTTTCTTTTTTTTCAAAAAGGAAGGTTTTAACTTTCACATAGTAAAATTACATATAACAAAACAATTATCAAGCAAGAATTACAGTTACACTATCTAGTCTATTTATAATATCTAGTGTATTTATATTTGGCAAAATTAAAGAAGATATCCTATCTATCCTATATTTGTGAGTCTAAGGTTTCATATCTAACTTATCTTTTATCAAAACTAAGGAAAATTATAACTATCTAGTCTTCAACTACATCAAAGACCTCAGAAGACTATACTATTACCTGAGAAATGGGAGGACACAAGCAACTTTTGAGAGTCTTGCGAGAGTAGACAGAGACAGCTGGCAGCCTGGACAGTCATCCAAAGTTCCTTTGTAAAGTTGGGGCATCTGTCTTCAGCCTACAGGCCTAGAGTCTCTCAGTCACTTCTCTCTGTGTCCTGTAGAATGTCTGGCAGTTTCCTCTGTGAAGCAGGAACCTGAAGGACCATTTTGCCGAGCAAAGTTCAGTTGTCACCTTCCTATAGGTCCTGCATGTCCAGTCGATCAAGCAGTCCAGGCAAGAATAGTTTCTTGTGCAAATGACTATTTTTGCCAAGAAGATAAAGTCCATATAGGGTATCTTCAATGCCCATCCACCTCTCTGAAGTAAATCGGTGCTGCCAGGAGTAGATATGTCTCACTGTCCAGAAAGTCTAAATTTTTAAAACATTTTAAATGCCATATTCTGTAGGTCTTTGAAGTGTTTGAAGATTACTTATCTATCTGAAATATATCTATGTATACCTAGGAGACTTAACTAACATGGCTATGAATATGATTATCATAGATGACTAATTATTTATCTATTTCTTAATTATCCATTACAATTTTAAATGAGCTGTACAAACATAATACCTTAAACAAGAATAGAAATATACACACAGTATAACAAAATTAACTTTAAATTTGTACCAATAAACTAAAATCTATACCAATGTGAAACATTTCAAACAAGTTGTTGCTCTTTTAAAGTAGGTTCATTAATCTACCCTTTCATCCTATCATATCTATATCATATATACATTATATTTCAACAACAAAACCGGATGTTTTTGAATAGCAAAATAATAAAAATATTCTGTGTATTCTTCAAGGCTTTTGACAACAAGTTACCTTTTGGCATGGAGAGGCAACTGCATTCTACTTTATGTGCCACAAATGTTTATTCTTATATGACTTTTCACTCCTCAATTCTTTTTGTATTTCATTGTCTTCAGGATTAAAGAACTTTATACACAGACTCTATCACTTCTAACAATGTCATAATTATCTGGATTTAGTTTATTTCCTTTCTGCATCTTTCTTTAAAATGTATGGAATATATGAGGGAGATGAACACCTTACTGTTGGCATCTTCCATATGCACAAAGTACACATGTTATTAAATATTTGCATATATCTGAATACTGATATTTTTTTAAAAACAGTAGTTTCCTTGAAGAGAGCAATGACATTGGTTAGGTATAGAATGATCCAGATGCTTGTATAGTCCTGCATTGTTGCCTTGTGAGAATTAGTCCCAGAATTCCTTGAACACTCCAAAACCCATGGTTACACAAGTCCCTAATAAACAATGGTGTGGTCTAGACAAATATATTTCCTGATAACCACACGATTGGTTTTTTACCTTGAGCTATTATAATACTATTTGTAAATCTCATTACTTTTATTTTTTTCTTCTCACGTTCAAAAAAGTTTTTTGAAAGTAAAATATGATTATATCATTTCCCCCTTCCCTTTCCTCCCTCCAAACCCCTTCCAAGTAGCAATACCCCAATGCTTTTCCAAATAAATAGCTTGTTTTTCTATTATTATTTTTTTGTGTGTGTACTGCTCATTCCATTTTCTTTTTTACATTTAAACTACTTTTATTCTTTGAGAATTTCATGCATTTTTATTTAATCATATTTACCCATAGAATATAATTTATAAATGTGACTATTAGAATTCTTCAAAGATTCTATTTTCTTAGGTCAACTAAAAAGTTTACCCTGTGTACAAACAATTTTAAATCTGTTTGATCATTAAATTTATATTGCTTTATAAGGTAACTATTTTTAAAAGAACATGTTCATGAGTAAATTCATTTTAAACAATGGTGTAGCACTCTCCTTACATTTTCCATTGTTTTCATCATCCTCAGTTACTTTTAACTAACTATGGTGACATACAAATCATAGTTAAAATCGCATATATTTGTGTATTTCTTGATAAATACTTGTGTATAATTTTTTCCTTTTCTCATTTTGAACTGACCTCTGGTGACAGATGATAATGACTTAATGTTTTATATGTACATACCGATGTGAAAAGTAATAACTGTTATTTAACTACTACACAAAATATACTAATTCCCTTTATATTATTTGCATATGATTGTTATTAGAATTATTTGAGGAAAAATTAGCTACAAACAAATAAGAGGAGCATAATTTATAGATGTCTTTTATTTCATGATAAAACATAGTATTATAAGTATTTACTATTAACAATTATTAACAGTTATTGTTAACATACATTGATTCCTTACATTTTCACAGAATTGGGAAACCCTTTAAGATAATAAATCGTGAATGTGAAATTGGAGAGTGTGGTTCTCACAGAGATTTTGGAACCTGCCAACTTGGAAGGAGGACTCCAGTTTCAACGCAGCAATGCTCAGTAAGATTTATTAAGTTTTGGGACCAGAATTCATTTAATTGGGAAAAATATAAGTCTTTCAGTACTTTGAACAGTGAAATGAATACTTTTGGTAGAGTGAGAAACTTGATATCATAGGAAAAGTTTTTCTTTTTTGTATTGAAACTATATGCTTTTATTCTCCTGTAATTTGATACTTCACAAGAGTTTAAAGGAAAGCAATATATGAACCTCAGTTATGACCATAAAGGTATTTTTGTAGCAATTTATTGATACATAATTACTGTCCATGAAATGCAATAGTTTCAATTATAAAATTCAATGTTTTCAGTATATTTATGTCTCCATATCATAATCATAATTTTATAATCATAGTTATTCTCAAAATAAATTCCATCCTTTTCATCCATCATGCAATCCTCCTGCCACTGCTCAGTCTTGGGGAGACATCAAGCTATGTTTTCTCTACAGATGTGTCTTTTCTGGACATTTCAAATAAATAGCTCCTTTCTATATTAGCTTTTTTTTTATACTTAACATGATGTTTCCAAGGTCCATTCCTGTTGTGGCTGGTGTTTGTACTTGGCTTCTTATTATTGCTAATGTTCTCTTGTATCTGTACACCATGCATCTTATTTATTGATCCATTAGTTTGTATTTCCATTTATAGTATATTAGTAATCCTACTGTGGACATGAATGTACACATGCGCATGTTTTCCTTTCTCTTGAATGAATACTTACTGGGAAAATTGTTGAGTCATGTGATAATGCTGTATAAACCTTTGAGGAGCTGCGAGTGCCGGGCTGTTTCCCAACTAGGATGCAATAAAGGCAGATGGGGGTTACCATCTCATCCCATCCAGTTTATGCTTTGCTGATCTCAAGATATGATTTTCAGTTGAATTTATTTAAGGACAATCTGATATTTTTCTTTTCTTCATTGAAATCTTTGCTCCCTAATCCAGAACTTCTTTCTTTCTTTCTTTTTTTTTTTCACTTCAGTTCCCATCATATCTTTATTACAGGATCTGCTGATTCGGTCTGCAGTTTGTTACACTGTGGTTGATTAACTCATTACAATGTATACAGCTTACATAACTTGCTTGGTAGGAAAGGGAAGATTACCTTCAGAAGCTGGCTTCTCCTATTAAAGTCAAACTGATCTTGGAGTTCAGTTAGGTCTTATTCCTGCATATGACACTGAAGCTATTCATTTATAGTGTGCTGAATATACATCCTAGAAATGATACTTCCCAGCTGTTTCATTTGCCTTTAATTTAAAACATTTAGATAGATACACACATGCATAACTTTTACAGAATTTCTAGAATAAATATTTCAATTCCTCCAAGCAAAAAAAAAAATCAGCCAGATAACATTTAAAAATTCAGCAGTGCTTAAGCAATTTCTGAAAGAAAAATGATTAAAATATAGTAATTGTAATAAAAGAATCTATCTAAGGTTAGATCTATCAAACCTTACTCAAAGTTAGTTCATTCTGAGAATTAATTGCTGAAAGCAGATTAGGTGTCTGAATTTGGTTATATTATCTAGTCTTTCCAGGCTTTTGTTTCTTTGTTTTCTACTATAGTACTTTAAGTCATGATTCCTATTATTTTCCACATCCTAATTAATGTGGTGATATTGTGTTCCCCAATATATTGTACACCCTAATAAACTTATCTGGGATCAGAGAACAGAACAGCCACTAGATATAGAGGCCAGAAAATGGTGGCACACATGCCTTTAATCCTAACATCTGGATCTCTGAGTTCAAAGCCACACTGGAAACTGCCAGGCATGGTGACATATGCCTTTAATCTCAGGAAGTGATGGCAGGAAGCAGAAAGGTATATAAGGCATGAGGACCAGGAACTAGAGCTGGTTAAGTTTTTAGGCTTTTGAGCAGCAGTTCAGCTGAGATCCATTCAGATGAGGACTCAGAGGCTTCCAGTTTGAGGAAGTGAGATCAGCTGAGGAATTGGCAAGGTGAGGTTGGCTGTGGCTTGTTCTGTGTCTCTGATCTTTCAGTGTTCACCCCAATACCTGGCTCTGTGTTTGTTTTTATTAATAAGACCTTTTAAGATTCATACTACAAATTAGAGATAATATTCTGGCAAAATTGCTTACTTAAAAGAAATTTCAATTGAAAGAGTCGGGGCATAAACTTCTTCCACAGTAGTTCCAGTATCATCCTTCTTGTTTTCTGTCATTTCTCAATGACAGTGTTTGCCCTCATTAAAGTAATATTACTACACAGTGGACCCTTTTAAAAGGAGAGTAACTTCTAAGATGTGGCTTAGGTTTTGTTATAATCTCCTATTCAAAACAATGTCTTTTATTTTTGCTGTTTAAAAGACTTATTGTGTATTTATGTATACAGATGCTTTGTCTGCATATGTGTCTGAGCACTTCGAGATGGTTGTGAGAGTCCATGTGGGCACCAGGAATGAACTCGAGACCTTTGGAAGAACAGCCAGTGCTCTTAACTCCTGAGCCATCTTTCCAACCCTGTCTTTATTTTTATCTTTTGTGGCATAGACAACATAGTTTTCTTTTTCTTTTTCAGTATCTTGTTTGAGAAGAGTCTAGGAATGAAAGATTGTTTCTGATTCCCCCTGCTTCAGCTGGGGCAGCTTTACGACTTGGAAGGGTGCAGAATCATTTGGAACAATGCTTTGTCCTGTCATGTGTGTAGTACCTTCTGTAGATGTTGCTGCTAGCCTAACTGGAACAAGCAGCTCTACTGGGAAGCATAGGCTTTCTCTGTGGCCTGATGTCTTACAACAGCCCTGAGTTCAAGGGGTCAATGCTGTGAAACAGAGGTTTTGTCTAACCTAGTGTTGACTGTCACCTTTTTGATGTTTGGCCTAATTCTATCTTCTTATCTAATGAAAATTAAACAATTAAAACCCACACACCCAGATCTCTAGTCATAATGTTTTATAGTCTCCCCACTTGAAAATTAAAATTATTTTAATCAATAAGAGCCACAAGGCTCATTAACTGCCGAGCCATCTCTCCAAACCTGATGCTAAGATCTTATAGAAACTGGAGCTGGCTCAACCATCCTCCAGAGGATCTGAGTTCAGTTCCTAGAACCCACTTTGGGTAGCTCAAAAGTACCTGTAACTCTGGCTCCAGGGGATCCAGCACCTTCTTCTGGCTTCCAAGGACACCACCTGTCTGCCCCACATAACACAAAGATAAAAATTTTAAACCATCTTACCATTCAAGATGAGGTTGTAGTGCCTGTGTCATGATTACTGGACTATAATACCTTCATGTATAGTTTCCCCCCATATAGAGACTTCACATGAAGTGATGCCATTTGCGTTTCACCTGCTCAACTGTCTTCTCACTTGCCCTCCCCACCATTCCAAACAGAACAGTGCAAGGCTATAAGAAGGGACAGTACAGGCTGAGGTCACACTGAGAAATTAGCCCTCAATATTGACATCATTCTTTGTGGCTCTTTGCTACACCCTAGACCCTCTACTTCTTCCTTTACCTAAGAAACAGCCTGTGTCTGAGCAACTGAATTTTTTTTTTTCATCTTGTTTTCTAGCTAGGTTCTGTTGCCTCTTTCAATAATATTGTGCTGTGGAATGTCGTCCTGTATGCTGTGGATATGTGTTGCTCTGATTGGTTGATAAATAAAATGCTGATTGGCCAGTAGCCAGGCAGGAAGTATAGGTAGGATAAGCAGACAAGGAGAATTCTGGGAAGAGGAAGGCTGAATCAGGAGTAGCCAGACAGACACAGAGGAAGTAAGATGACAAGGCAGAACTGAGAAAAGGTACCAAGCCACGTGGCTAAACATAGATAAGAATTATGGGTCAATTTAAGTGTAAGAGCTAGTCAGTAATAAGCCTGAGCTAATGGCCATACAGTTCGTAATTAATATAAGTTTCTGTGTGTTTATTTGGGTCTGAGCAGCTGTGGGCCTGGGTGGGACTGGAGAAAACTTTAGCTACAATATTGTTTTTGTCTCTCTCTATTTTAACACAATCTTCAATGAAATAAAATTCCATCACTTTCCACCTCTTTTTCATCCCTTCCTCCCTTCCCAGCAACCCTACCTCAAACCCCTCTGATTTTCTTTTAAGCTGAAAGCATCTTCTTCCCTGCTATTGTTACATACATATATGTGTTTGTATGTATGTGTGTGTTTGTGCAAATTTATATTGGTCTCCCTTCACTCAAGTGAGCAAACAGCTACCACATTTCTCCTAAGAGCTTTGAATCTCCTCAGAATTCTATTGGAACTCATGTCATTCTAAAAGGAACTTTCAGAAATCCTTTTGAGGTGAACTCATCATCTTGGCTTCCCATTTAGCCCAACTATGACAATGTTTTAAGACCAGGACCCTAAGGTTCACCAGAAAATTTGTGACCTTGCCTTAGAATTTTCTGAATTCTTACACCTGTGGTCCTTTTAAGAGTGTGGATTCCCAGTGGCACCTAGGTTTGATCTCATTAGAAGTCGTTCACACTGCCATTTTTTTTTTAACAATTTGTACATGGATAGTGTAAAAACTAGAAACCAGTGTTTGCACACAGTAAATGTTGGCTCTTCTGTGTTTCACGGATTTTTAGCTTGTGTATCAAGTAAATTTAATATTCAGTTGCTAGGTAGCTTCCTCCAAGCTTCATTACCTTTATAATTTCCAGTCAGTCTCTTTGTGGTCCATGAGCTTCCTCTAGTAATACCTTTGGATGTTTTGTGGCTCTTTCTTTTAAAGATCCAGGCCATATTATATTTCAGGGCTGAAGATGTGGCTCATGTGTTAGAGCATGTACCTAACAAATGGCAAGATCTGGTTTTGATGTCCAAGTGCCTCACATGCAAACAACTGTGCAAGTCAAATTTTGTGCTGATGTAATACAATTGATACTGATGAAGACTTGAGATTCTAGTATCTCTTAATTACTGAATATCTGAATTTTCTCTGACTCACTAACAAAACTACAGTCATCAAACACCCTGCATTAGCTGAATACAACTGTTTTTGACATTGTTTTGTTTTGCTTTTAATGTTTCAGGCACAAAGAACAACTAAACCATACTCAGAATTCTTAAGAGAGAGCTACACAACTTCAACAATAAATGTGATGGAAACCAAAATTAGAAGCCTTAAATCTACACTCTCTAAATTGAAAGTTAGCAGAGCATTAAGTGCATTGGAACTGGAACGATATAAGTACCTCTATCATGAAGAATTAAGCATTAGAAAATCATTTCAATATTACCTAAACAAGTAAGGAAAGCACATATATGTAGAAAGCCTAATAAGTTCATTAGTTTGTTTCTAAAAATTAATTTTTAGAAAAAAACTATCTGTGAAATTCCTATAAGGAATGTTTTGACAAAGGTGAAAGTTAGTTGAGCGATATAGTTTTGGGAAATAATATTATTACATAAACTTAATTTTAAATGATCACTCTTACAGATTATGATAATTTTCTGCTTTTTATTACACATGATAATTTCATATACTTAGTCAAATCAGGTGTATATTCACCTGTGTATTTTTGAGACTTTCTAATTAAGACAATGATAGTTACATAAAACTTTTTGCAAGTATTATCATAAAAATGAATATTGAATGTTGACCTATCTTTAAGGTAGTATAACTTAAAACCAAGGGTATGAGTACCACCATCCCTACTTCCCCAGGGATATTCTGGCAGTTGGCAGACAATTTTCTTTGCTGTGAACTTTGATCGTACCACTAACTAGGGGGAGCCAGGAGACAAACTGTTCTTTTGAGTTTCTATATTCTTCATAATGGCATACTGTGATCTAGGGAAAGACTAATATGGGGTGGGGGGAGAAAGCCTAGATCAGAAACAATGGCTAAAAACTGTCCAATGTGAAGATTTTGGAAGCTATATTGGAGATTTCCACTTGTGCTGCCTTGGTAATGATGAAATGATGTCACAGTGTCTTAAGCTTCTTTGGTTCTTTTTCACTAACAGCCCCACTACCACATTCTCCCCGGAGTTTGTTGTGAATTATTCCCCAGTGCCAAATGTTTAATTATACTCAGCTAATACATGAGGCACACATAAGGGAAAGCAAATCTTTTCAAATGTCTTCAAAAGGTGATTTTGTAAAATCTCCTAACCGGTTTTCCAATACTGTATGACCTCTCTCTTGGAAGGCATGGGGACTGCAGTGGTGACACACAGATGACCATTCTACTCATCCCAGCTTTGTGGGGCAGTGAGTGGAACTGGGGTAACTTACAGGAGCTGGGGTGAACTCTTACTCACAGTAACATGGGGAGCTTACAGGGAGCCACAGCAACCACAAAAGAGATTCTATCCCTTTGTGCAGTGATTAATTGTCTATACGTTCTCATGGAGAAGAAAGGACTCATGAGGGCCCAACTCCATATGAAAATAAGGGGCCTGGTGTGTCAACAATTCTGGTGCAGATAATTACATCTGCTAAGAGTTTAAGAGGGTAAAAGCCATATCTTGTCCAAAGGACAGAGTGGTACAATAATGAAATCCACATATTCCTAGATGTTTCATTTTAGCTTGTCAAGTGAATATGTTTAAGCATAACATCATGATGTTATAACAAATTTTCATGTAATAAATCCCTCTAATCAAGAAAGTGAACATCTAAGATCTTATGTTACTCTTTACATATTTTATTACTTATTCCAATAACATCATGAATAACATTATAAACATATTTTGTCTAGATAGAGGAGTCTTATTGGTCATGATGCACATCATTGATAGCTGTACTTATCCCTCCTTTAAAAATCTAGTTTCTTATTTGGAATACCTCTAGAATCACATGAACTATCTTTGGAAAAATTTCATGCCCACAGTTGGTACACTCAGCAGCACCTTCACTGTTAGCGTGCCATTTCCATGAAAATTTCATTTAGTCTCATGGCAGTATTGTTAAAATGCAAGTAACTTAATAGACCTTCAGGAGGAAGTGGCAGCTTTAGATTTTACCCTTTACAGTCTTTGCAGGAGTAATGAGAATTCAGAGAAGAGCAGGACAAAGCTTCACATGGAAATGCAGCACGGCAGATCTGCAGGGAATGCACAAAGCTTGAGGCTGTTCACTGAGTGCTCTTCTGCTGGCAATTTTGATAGCATCCCAGGACCCAGAATAAGTCTCCTCCGGAGAGAAAACCTGACAGCATCTTCCTTAAACTCTCAACCATCAACCACTGGCCTGGAAGACTGCCTAGGAATGGTTAGCTATGGTTTCCAATTTAAAGTTCTGGTGCAGTTCTTGTTTTCAACCTGGTTAACTATTAGGCTTTGCAGTTGACACCTCCTAAGTTAAGACAAGAGTGAATCATGATAAAGAAGAAAAGTGGAGGGATTAGAGAGAGGTCTTCCCTGGGAAACTGTGCTACTGTGCAGTGCAAGGGCATGAGTTCAGATCCCCAGCACCCACCTAAAAGTTTGACATAGTGCCTGTCACTGTAGTGAGGGAGAATGGGTGGAGACAGGGATCCTGTGGTTCTCAGTCAGGCTAGTCTTGAATAAACTGTGAGCTCTAGGTTCAGTGTGGAACCTTGTTTAAAAAAATATAAAGTAGAAAAGAGAGAGAAAGATAGGGGAAGTAAGCTTTCCCCTACAGGAGTACATGCACTGATGAGTGCCACCCCGTACATTGTTAGTACACATGTATACACACACACACACACACACACACACACACACACACACACACACACACTCTCACACTCACTGCATGGAACAAGAGAGAGAGAAAGAAAGAAAACAAAATTAGAAATCTTATAAACTTGGAAAGTTCCTGGTGCTCTTATTTTTATGAGATATTATTTACAAACTTTTTACACATGTAAGTGAATTTAAATATATTTAAAATCTGAATGTAAATTGCTTTTTAGGAGATGATTATTCCTGAACAGACAAGGTGGCTCAGTATGTAGAGACCTGTGTCGTGAATCCTGATGATGTCTGTTCAATTTTCAAAGTCCACACGTGAAAGGAGAGAACAAGTTGTCCCACCAGTTGTCAACTGACCTAGACAAATGCTCCATGACATGTGTATGTGTACACCCAGATACAGACACACACGAAATGAACACATAGATACATAGATGCATAAATGAACAGACATGAATGAAAAGGATGATTCCTGCATCTAAGTCTAGGTATGCTTTGACATGCTGTGGCTTACTTTCTAAGCAACTTTTGCTTGGCCATGCAACATTTTGCTGAATCTTATTTTTAGGTTTCATGTTCCAGCTTAATTCCAAGATGATGTGTCCTATGCATTAGGAGCCATTGTATACTTTTGTTTTGTCCCCATTAGATGTTATGACTTTGCAATTACAAGTTATGTACCTGACATGAGGAGATACAGCTTTTAGGTTCTGTATATAATGAATCATTTTCTGATCATTGAAAAAACATGCTTGGTGCTGAGAATTGAGGATATAATCTGTGGTTGTAAGCCACTGAGCTAGAATTATTTAATTGACGTAAAGGTTATAAATAACATCGGACTGTTTTTCAGATGCATCAAGAGTCCCAATAGAATTAAAGATAGAGAAGCAAATAAAGCAAGGTATGTTGCCAAAATGTATGAATTTAATAAGTTAATTGATTTTTGAAATAAATTTTAAAAGTAACTGGCTTTCCTTTTATCTTGCTATATTAACTAGTCTTGTTACAGACATTGAATGAAATATATAAAGTGTAAACATTCATAATGTCCTCATTATTAATCATCTACAACTTTTAAAAGCATCTACATTTTTGGAAAGAAAAACAAATACATAATTGCTAAAACGCAAGGTACTGGGGACACAAAACAACAACACTGAAAATAAACAACACAATTCCTGTCAGTAACACACACAAATTTCAATAGTAACTTTAACTATTAATGACCTCAATTCTCCAATCAAAACATGTGGGCTGACTGAATGGATCAAGAAACAAAATCCATGTTATCTATGAGAGATACATCTTATCTTGAATGATAGACACTTTAGTGATAGTGTAAATGTATGGAAAAAATACTCTGATCAAACTGGACCAGGAAGTAACCAGGCATCACTATCTATCCCAATATCTGACAACAGAGACTTCTAACTAAAACTAATTAGAAGAAATAAAAATATACACTTCATTCCATTTAATGGAACTGTCAATCATCCTAAATATACATGCACCATACTCTGTTGTACCAAATTTCATTTTAAAAAAGGTACTGCTAGATTTAAAGACACAGATAGCATTGACCCGTGAGTAATTTTAGTGTGCTACTATTGATAGATCCAATTTAGTGTCCAATTGATAGATCATCTGGACCAAAAATAAAGAGAGAAGCATCAGAATTAAGTGAACCACACATCAAAAAGACTGAACAATTAGCTGCAGAATATTCCCCCCAAGCACCAAAGAATACACATTTTCATTTCTACCATCCCAATGAAACTGTCACTTGCATTTTGAAACTATTCTTAACAAATAAAAGCCTTTTCAGATTAACTTTCTGAAATCCCAGACTCATTTAATAATCCTTGTTTTAAATTTTCAAACTTAGTGAAAGTATTACAAAATTTCTGTGCTTGTGAGACACCATACATATGTATATACTCATTCTATAGACTGTTTCTTAATAGACTTAAACTGATTTGACTAATACAGTGCGAATAGACATGAGATGAATGAAAAGCTCCTCTTGCTTTGATGCTGAGTATAAGACAGTGCATGTGATTATAAAACAAAAGTTTTAGTTTTATTTAAAGTGATTGTCATTATAATATTATTCAGTCGTTTGGGGAGTTTGGTGGTCCTCTCTCTTCTGAAAGGCCTATCATCACAAATTATAAAGGAACAGATACATGAGTTGACTATCAGCTATCTGGCTCCATGATACATTCTACTTCCTCTTTCCTATATTTAGCTTAGTACTAACATTGAAATGCAGATCATAGGAGGGCAATTCAGAAAGTCATAGTTAGTACTATTTTAACCCATGTATCAAATCAAATTCTGCTTAGAAGACCAACTATATCCTAATACTCAGCCATTACCTTGGTTTTACCATGAGATGTAAAACCTCACTTACACATGCTTTAGAACCAGAATCTTAATATATGTAACATAAGACTATTCCATGAAAACAATTACTATGCCAGAAATGAATATCTGTTTTATATCTTACATTTATTATAATTAACATCTATTTAAAGAACTTTTTTAAAGAGAATATCCCTGACTGGCTTGGTATAACAGGGTGGCCATGAACACCCAGAGATGCACTTGCCTCTTCCTCTTGACTGCTGGGATTAAAAGTGCAACCCTACACCAAGTTTGAGGGTATTTTGATAGATTTCTCTATGGAGACTTCTATTTGGTATTCCTTTCCAACAATCTCCCTTGTCTTGTTCCTTGTGACTTGTTCTGATGCTTGGTTTTTTTTTCTGTAATATTTTTGCTAATATTTCTATCTTTCCTGCTTTCCATTTGGTTCTTTCTGAACATTATTTATGTTGACTAAATATTTTCTGTTTTCATGTGAAAGTAGCAAAACGACAAAGGATTTCAGGATTCCATAGATCCTTAAAAACTAGTCAAAATGCTATTCTCTTCATGAACTTGTATTTAATATCCTGGGTAAAATGCTGGTTTTTATGTAAAATGTTAAACTCAAAACTTTTAATGGGCCTCTGTGAGCATAGTAGGCATACATGAGGTTTACCCTAACATTCCTTAAATAGGCAGATTTCTCTGGGTGTTTTCATAAGACATTGAAAGATCGATTTACATGTTACAATGAGAAAAGGATCCGAATGTGTTTAGCAAGTGAACCCAATGGTATAGGGTAAAAATGAATTATCAAGGGGAGATTTAAAGAACAACACTGGATAGGATATAGACGTTTTCGGAAGGAGACTTGTAATTGGAATTGTAGAGAAGCTGTGTATACACAATATATGAAATAAGGATTCAAGATATTGAAGCTTACCTGTAAATGAATTTTAAATTTGTGAAATTGAATGATTCTAACAAATATTTTGCTTTCTTATCTTTGATTGTAGGAACTGACAACCAACAATATTTCTATTGACAGATATTAAACAATTTGAAACAATTGGAGGAGTTTCTATGGCAGAGAAGAATATGGATTATCTACTTTTAACAACCTCTCTCCTGTGTGCATATGTGTGTGTCTCTGCGTGTGTCTGACCGTCTCTCTCCTTACCTATCTCTATTTGTATCTATGACATCTATAGATCAGTTTACAAAGGATATGTTACAGATCTGCTTATACAGGGATCTAAGTGTTGTTGAATTATATGTATCTGTGACTCAGCTCAGGTAAGATGTCTCCTATACCTCCTTGCCTCTCATTGACATTTTTACAACAGACATGTAGAATAGACAATAGATAGGCCCCCTTGGACCACATTCATAGAGATGTATCTACACAGATGTCAGCATTCATACAGAGACAATAGCTGGTTGAGTCTACATTTAACCAGATTTGAAGAAATAAGGACATTGAGAACACCTATTGTCCAGTTGAAGAGAGGGATTCTATGAGCAAGGGGCATCAAGATCATGATGGGGAAGCCTGCAGAGACAACCAAACCAAGTGGGAACTCATGAACTTTAGACCAACAGCTGTGGAGCCTCCATGGGACTGAACTAGGCCGTCTGCATAAGCGAGACAGTTGTGTAGCTTTGTCTGTTTAAGGGGCCCCCTGGCAGTAGGATCAGGATCCATCCCTGGTGCATGAGCTGACTTTTTGGAGCCCATTGCCTATGGTGGGACACCTTGCATAGCCTTGATGCAGGGGGAAGGGCTTGGACCTGCCTCTACTGAATGTACCAGGCTCTGCTGACTCCCCATCGGAGGGAGGCCTTACCTTTTTGGAGGAGGGAATGGGGGGTGGGTTGAGGTGGGAAGACTGGGGGGAGTGGGAGGAGGGAAGAGAGGAGGATCTGTGATTGATATGTAAAATGAATAAAAAAATTTTAAAAATTATTAAAAAAGAATTAAAAATGTAAAATTCTGGAGTGATGACTGCATATTTAGTATGCTAAGAAACATAAAACATTTAATATTGTCCTGTTGAATATTATAGCAGAGACTCAATGAAATAAAACTTCATACTACACAGCTAGCCAAATGATCATAATTTAATATTTGATTCTGAAATACTTTTACTATTCACAAAAATAAAAAACTCAATTATTTATATATACAACCAAATCTTTACATAAATCAATTTTAAATGTGGATTTGTGAAATAACAGTTTCAAATTATTGAATGCATATTCATTTTATAACCTCCAAGATGACAAAATGTTAAGATCAAATATAAGACTTATAATGAATCAGATGGGAAAATGTTGCTTTTAAACACAATAACGCACATTCTGAGAAACAATATTGTCTATCATAGGCAAAATAGAAGAGGTACACACATGTGTGATACATATTAAACACAGTTGAAGAATATTTAATATACAGACTTTGAATGCATATGTAGATGCATGTCCAAGAAACAAGGGTATTGATTTAAGCATCATCAGATTATGGCATTATATTTAAAACAATCATCAGTAAGGAATTAGATTACCATATACATATAAAATGTAGTATATTTAAAAATGAGTTTCAATCTATATTGCACTCATTATTTTACCAGTGAAATATTCCAGAGACATGGATTTTGATAGCACATCTCAAGCAAATTTTGTTCTAAAACTACATCTGGAGAGTTACAAAAGGAAGCTGCTTGCTAGAATGAAATTCTACTTCCTAATTAACAAAACTATTAGCTGTTAATCTGTCTGTTTCTTCTCAGTGTTCCTGTGTTGATAATTGAAACCCCAAATTAGCCTTGTTGTTGCTGTGAGGATTATACCCAGGGAAAATGTCAATAAACGTTTCTGTCATATGTTCTCTGTTGATATGCAGTGGCCTAATTTTAGTTTGAAGTTTACTATCAGCTATCAGAGTAGTTATGCCTACTTTCTTTGGTTTCTATCCACTTGGTAGGTTGATTTTCACCCTTTTTACTCTTTGTCTATGAGTTCCTTTAGCAGTATTTCCTGGAGACCTCAGATCATTGGATGCACTTTTGTTAATGCAATAAGCCAATCTAGCTTTCTTTACTGGTGTGTTTGGCTTACTTAAATGGAAAGTTATTGTTGAAGATGTTTATTAATAACTGCACTTTTGTTGCCTGATTTTCTGGTGTGTTGCATTATTATTGGCTTCATGATTCTCTCCAGTTAGCATCAGGGCCTGTGCTGATTTCTTTTGTGGGACATGATGGATTCATTCCAACTCTTTGTTCAGATACTGCTCCCAAGTTATTTATTCTTTCCTGTGTCCCATAATTGGGATTCCTTCTCTTTCCTCTGTGTACAGTATTTAGTTAAGTATCTCCACTACGTTGGCTTAGTGATAATGAGCTGATGCTCTTTATTTATTTTGAGACATCCTATTAACAGTAGATTTTTAAAATCCATTTTTTGATAAAGCAATCTTAGTTGGAAGTTATCTTCACATTGTGAAGTTTTTCATTCCATTTTCCCTGTCTTCTAAGTTTGGTTAAGAGAAATGGGATGTTATTATATTTTATCTTCTTGTTTTTTCCCTTAGATCTTTCTTAAAATCTGTTTTTAACTGAAGTAGAATTATATCACTCCCTCTCTTCCTTTCCCTCTCTCTGGCCCCATCCAGCTACACTAGTCTACCTATAACCACCCCCTCCCCCACTCCTCCAGCACTCTCAAGTTGACAGCCTCTTTTCCTTTGGTCATTATTGGTGTGTGTGTGTGTGTGTGTGTGTGTGTGTGTGTGTGTGTGTGTGTGTGTGTGTGTGTGTGTGTGTGCATTTCTTCTCTTTCCTCTGTGTACAGTTTTTATTTAAGTGTCTCGACTCTGTTGGTTTAGTGATAATGAACTTAGCGATCATATATATTTATATTATCACACTCATTGTGGCAACGCATGCCTACATTCATATTCTGTCCCCTCCTCTCATAAATCAATAACAAAGATAATGAAAAAGCATCCTCAAAGAGCACCCTCTCCTCTTCCCCATGTGAGGACACAATGGAAAGAGCCAGTCAGCAGGCCCTCATCAAACATGTGTGCTACCATCTTGATCATAGACTTCCCTGTCTCCAAAAGTGTGAGAAATAAATGTGTGTTGTTTAGGAGCTACTCCAAGGGCCAGGCTTTGTTACAGCCCAAGTGAACAAGGACACACTGCTTAGGAAGGCGTGGGCTGCCCTTGGGGAACCCCGGTAGCTCCTGCAAACCCAAGGCCTCGAATATGAAGGGGAGCAGAGAGGACTGCATGCACAGGGCCTGTGGCAGAAGGTGTGGCCCTTTTCTAGGGCCACAGGTGGTTCTGTCACAGTAACCCTGCAGGGAGGGAGACCAGAATGGAACAAGAATGGGGACATTTCAGTGTAAATACTGACAGATTCTGGAATTAGCTGGATTCCTTCCTCCAACTTTCCCTTGTTCCCAAGTGAGGACAGGGCTGACAGTATTCTGGTGTTACCCACCTGCTCACCCCATGACGTGAGATCGTGTGATTGTTTCTCGGTGACAAGACAGAATGGAAGAGGCTGTTTCTCCAAAGAAAAGGATGTCTGGCAGATGAAAGGGACTGTGATGTGAGGAACTCCCCAGGCTTGGGAGGGAGCAGAAGAGAGTCAGCTACAGGGTTAGGTGGAGGGGACCTAAAAGTTGACTCAAGACACCCAAGACCAAGTTCTCAGCACGAAGGAGATTTATTTGCCCCAGAAGGACAGAAGGCAGGGATAAAGGAGAAAGACAGGAGACAGAGGAAGAGGGGGAAGGGAACAAGTTAGAGGGGAGAAAAGGGACAAAGGAGGGTGGGAAGAGGTATTTGCTGTGGAGTTGGAGAGGGCGGGACAAAGGACAGACATAGCATATGTGGATAGAGAGGAGACAGACATGGCGCAGAGGAAAAGGCCAGTTTATAAAGGTACAAGGGGACACCCTGTGTTAGGATGAGGGGTTGAATTTTAATTGGGCATATTAATTAGGTGATCCATAGGGGACTTTTGATTGCTAGATTTCAATACTTTGATAGCTGGATCTTGGTAGTCAGCCTGAGAAGGAGGGATTGGCCATATAAGGGAATGGACTGTGGGGACTAGCTTTAGAAATGTAATCTAATGGTTTTAAGCAAGGCAGAGGGAATGGGAGAGAAGGGCAAGGCCTGCTAGAGTCAGGTTTGCTGGAGCAACTGGAGCATGCTGGAGCTGGCTAGAATCTCTTCATTAGGAGAGCCAATTGCCCATTTTTCAGGACCTCTGTGAGCTGAATGTCAAATACATTAAAGTCATCTTTAACAACTTTTTTGGGAGGCCAAGACAGGGGGTTAGGAGTCTGAGGCCTGTCTGGACTTCATAATCAATTCGAGTCCAACCTGAACCTCACAGCAAGAATCTGTCTCCAAAAACTAAAGTTAAAGCAGGATGGTGGTGGCGCACGCCTTTAATCCAGCATCCGGGAGGCAGAGGCAGGTGGATCTCTGAGTTTGAGACCAGCCTGGTCTACAGAGTGAGTTTCAGGACAGCCAGGGCTATGAAGAGAAACCCTGTCTCACAAAAACAAAACAAAACATTAAATTATATCGTTTTACAACAGAGCGGTGGCACCACTCTAATCCCAGCCCCAGGAAGGTCAAGACAGGAGGGTAAGGCTTTCAACGTCAGGTCTGCTAGGCACTGTGAGGCTGTTTCTAACAACAACAACAACAAGTCCCCAAATAATTTACAATTGAGCTATACTTAAAACTAATGTAACACACGGGGCTGGAGAGACGCTCAGTGGTTGGGAGCACTTGCTGCCCTTGCAGAGGACCCAAGTTCAGCGTCCAGCACTGGTTTCTGGCTGCTCACAACCATCTATCACTCCAGCTCCAGGAGTCTGATGCCCTCTTCTGACCTCCTCGGGCACAGCATGCACTTGGCGCACATACACAGATGCAGGCACACACAAACACACATAAAAATAAATAAACCTTAAAAACCAACAACACATGTTAGCAATTCTGCACTTCCTAATGATTTTGCTATTATCTGTGCTCTTGAGATAATTTACTCCTATTGTGTCTGTAGGGTGGAAATATTGCATAATTGCATCTCTTCCTAATGATGCACAGTGAGCATATTTACACCGTGGAAGCTGCACATGCACCAATGCAGGGCTGTCTTCCTCTTCCCCAAAGAGAAGCTTGTTAGACGCTTACTAGCACGTACCCTGCTAAATGGAAAATAGAGCACAGCCTTGTCTGTAGCTGCGTTACAGGGACAGCTGCTCGGGGGTCATCGGGGTCAAGCTGCAGATAGAGATGAAGCTACCTGTTTCCCCTGCTTGATTTGTCCCCTCAGTTTGGAGGAGGGAAAGGCGTGAAAGCAGCAGCCGGGCCTGCCACCAGGCGAGGCAGGCTGACCACGGCCTGCCTCGCTACAGACACAAGGAGCAGCCGAAGGACAGCACGAGGTTCCCGACTTCTGCTGCGACAGACCTTGTAAAACAGGTAGAGGAATGTCCTGGAACCGGACCAGATTAACAAATTCTGTTTTAGGGAAAGCAAGGTCAAGGGTGAGGCAGAGTCGAGAACCTGTACACAGAGGCCAAATGCCTTTGTCTTCTACTGGTGATAGTTCTGAGCAAGACAGAAGAGGAAACCCACTAGGACTTGCAGTCAGCTATTTCTATGGTGACCTTTTGGTCATGGCAACAGAGTCTTCCAGTGTAAGGAGACTCTCTCATCGCCTTATTATCTTAGCCATTTGTGTGTTCTCCTGGTGACAACGGAATCAGGCAGGATTCAGCACCTGTGGGGACTGGCTTCTGGAAATTTGGTGTTTG